TCCTCTCTTTCTTTCTATCTTTCTCTCTTTCTTTATCTCTCTTCTTTCTTTTTCCTTCTTTTTTTTCTTTCTCTTCTTTCTTTCTTTCTCTCTTTCTATCTTGACGCAGTTATAGATGTACGAGCATATAGAACTAATGATACATGATTTGTCAAGTTTCATAAGAAATATAATTTTTTTACCTGTATCTTCAGGCTGCGAGGAAGGTTGTTGCTTATACAACGGCATGTGTTTCTGGTTCTAGGACTTCTGTTGTTCTGCACATACAGTACCATCTATATAACACCCTGTATAGGATTTTGGGGTATTTCTTGTGCAACGCATCACACCGCAGCGAAATGCAACAAATGCAGAAGTAACTATGGCACTGCAGGGCAAAAAAATGGGGTCTATGATCTATTTAAGACATGAAGTTATTGAAAAATAATGTGCCAGGAATGCCAGCAGGACAATGGCTTTAAGAAATATGAATTTTTAACCTGTATCTTCAGGCTGCGAGGAAGGTTCTTACTTATACAACGGCGTGTGTTACTGGTTCTCGGACTTCTGGCGGGAATATAGTTACGCAGAGCGGGCGTGCGCGGATAGGGGCGCCATGATGGCGATGATAAAGGATGCCGAGACGCACCAGTTTCTTGCAAACCAGATCCAGCTCACCCAGAATGGAAAGTTAGTATTGATTGAAGCACACTTTCAGACAATGCTAAACAATGAATAGCAAAGTTCTTTGATCACAACCATTTTAATATTTTTCACGAGCCGACGTTTCGATGACCGTCTGTCATCTTCATCAGGGTAATTCTGACTGGTTTACTGGGCACTGACACTAGATGTTACTTGGTGCATAGTACACTAAAAGTGTTACTTGGTTCACAGTGCACTGTCACCTGATGAAGATGACAGACGGTCATCGAAACGTCGGCTTGTTGAAAATAAATGGTTGTGATCAAAGAACTTTGCTATTCATTCCTTTATCAACCTGATGAAATTATTTACGAATGCTAAACAACTTTTGCTTTTTAACCGTAACTGCACTTGGTTGCAGCGAGGTTCACTCTTCGATAGGGAAAACGAGTTTTGAACACGTGATTTTTTTTTCATAACTCTGGTTGATTTTGCAACGTTTTCAGGAGCCACTGGTTCGGACTATCTGACCGACTGGTAGACTTTGAGTACAGGCATAGCGACGGGAGCACGCTAGGGTCTTACCGGCCCTGGAGGTACGGAGCTGTTCTTTCTGTATGTTTATAAGCTGACTCACAGCGTCTTGAAAAGAGCAAGTCTGAATTGTTTGTATTGTGTGCTTGAAGCGAACCTACTTCAAGTTTCCCTAAAGCGTAACGTATTTGTGTGTGTACATGTACCTTTGTGTGAGTGTGTGTGTGTGTGTGTGTGCGTGTGTGTTTCTATGTATGTGTGTTGTGTGTGTGTGTGTGTGTATGTATGTGCGTGTGTGTGTGTTTCTATGTATATGTGTGTGTGTGTGTGTATGTTTCTATGTATATATATATATATATATATATATGTGTGTGTGTGTGTGTGTGTTCACAATATGTGAGATTTTGATTGCATATCTGTTTCAGGGAAGGAGAGTTTGAGACCGACCACGTCCATAAAGGCTGTGTCATGCTGTGGCACCGCAAGCAATTCAAGTGGGCCACCACCCAGTGCGAGCACCGATGGAACCTGTTCTTCATCTGCGAGAAACGTGAGTGAAGGCCCGCTCACATGCGGCATGTACAGTATACACGAAAATAAAGTTTCATTCATTCATTCATTCATTTTTTCATTCATTCTTCTTTCTTCTTCTTTCTCTTTATTTCCTCCCGTGGGAGAGCAGTGTCACACTAATACAAAATAATAGTAACTTTACATATGCTAATTAAAATATGTTAATTAAAGTATACATGTATCTTGTAGGATAGGATGATCAAACGATCATAATGTCATTCATTCATTCATGTCTTTCAGCTGCCATTATAACACCTCTCGTATAATCAGCGCTGCCTCCACGGACTTAAACGTTGCCATAGCAACAGCATTGCCATGGAAACCGAATTGGACTCGACGTCGTCGATTTAAGAACAAAAGCTTTAATTAACTAAAACCAAAGATACGTAAAATTAATTCCGTTAAGAATTGTAGACCTAGAATTATGTGAACTTTATCCAGTTAGCTGATTTAACCATACTCGTCACTTCGAAATTACTATCATTAAAGTTCATCTGTGCTGGTAATTATATGTTTAGAGTTAAAACTTTAGATCCAACCAAAAAAGTTCTCTCACCTCACAAAGAAGTCACGTGACAAGCCTCACTGTGTCAGTCTACTGAGGAAGACCAGAGTGACTGGTCGAAAGCTCTTTGTGAGAGAACTTTTTGTGTTGAATCTAAGGTTTTCACTCCAAACATCTTTAAATTACATTATTTCATTTATCTAGAAAAATATGCCTATCTTTAATTTTTAATGTGGAAAATTGACATGCAAATTATGGTTATCTAATAGTAGAAACTTATTAGTTATATAAACCCTATCAAGCGATTCGTCCAAATAAATATTCGTTTCGTTCTCTTAAAAAATCTTAAAGAAACAACTATATATACTATAAATTGATATATATTGCTTTTCATGTAAATGCATCAGATACGTCAATATATATTTTGATTGATATAGATGTTATGGATACTCAAGATCAGGGAGATGTAGTTAACATAGGGGGATACAGTGAGTAGACGCAGTTGTACATGTATTTTTGCATTGAACTATACAGGGTTTTCATGATCGTCATAGGTGTTATTTGACCATCCAGCGGCCATGTTGGTGGGTAAGTGGGAAGCAACACCGGCATGTTTAAAGTCATCCAGTGCAGTTTTTAGGGCTCGGAAACCCGATTTTTCATCAAAGTCAATATCCTAGTCATTCATCTACATACTGAGTTGAAACCACACTGTCCCATTGTATATTGACCCTCATGGAGCAAAAATTCCCGAAATTCGTATGGAAAATGGTTACTGGAAGGGGCCTGGGCTGATTTTTAGGGTACCACCCAGAAAATAAAGGACTCGTTTCTGGCTTGTACCTGCAGTTTTAAATGCCCAAAGTATGAAATGCTGACTCAAATATGCTAATGTGAAACACTATATTGTGTAAATATCACAAAAGATCGCCTTATTCAGAATATTTCCAGTTTTTCTGCCCTGAAAAAGCATTGAATGCCTTTAACAGACATACACTGTACTCCAACATGGCGCATGTGACGTCACATGAAAAACCTGTATGGCACTTTGCAATGTCAGTCTATACAATGCATCTAATACTATATATATATATATGTAGACACAGATAGATACTTTAATGTAAAATAGTTTAAGCTGGAATGATAAAATTTATGAATCGGAAAAAATAAAAGAGAATTAAAATGGATGATTTCAATTCCATTGTGCCTTATAGGTGTGTTACACTCCTAAAGGGCGTACTCGTCTAGTAAGACTATGAATATCACACAAACACATTCTGCCAACGTTTTTACACTTTAACATTATGCGCATCTCTCCTAAACCTCATTGGCTATACTGCAATTTGTCACATTTAAAATTATCGGTGTTTGTCACATTTTTGTCATTAGACATGACCTTCTCGGGGAAAACCTGCAATGAAAAGATAATGCTGGGTTTCTTTTGAAGCAGATACTGTGGCATCTCTCAGTTTTAATGAAAAAGATGGTATCGAGTTAATTTTACTGCAGTTGAAGTTGATAAGCCTGAAGCTAAGATTATCTGTGAAATCAATTTGCATGAAAGGATAATGTAATGCAT